CGGTAGGTATACGACACACTATAACCGGTAGGTATACGACTCACTCTAAACGGTAGGTATCCGACACACTCCAAACGGTAGGTATACGACACACTCTAAACGGTAGGTATACGACTCACTCTAAACGGTAGGTATACGACACACTCTGAACTGTAGGTATACGACACACTCTGAACGGTAGGGATCCGACACACTCTAAACGGTAGGTATACGTCTCACTCTGAACGGTAGGTATACGACACACTGCAAACGGTAGGTATACGACGTACTCTGAACGGTAGGTATCCGACACACTCTGAATGGTAAGTATACGACACACTCTAAACGGTAGGTATACGACATGCTCTAAACGGTAGGTATCCGACACACTCTAAGCGGTAGGTATCCGACACACTCTGAACGGTAGGTATCTGACACACGCTGAACGGTAGGTATACGACTCACTCTGAACGGTAGGTATAAGCCACACTCTAAACGGTAGGTATACGACACACTCCAAACGGTAGGGATACGACGTACTCTGAACGGTAGGTATCCGACACACTCTAAGCGGTAGGTATCCGACACACTCTAAGCGGTAGGTATCCGACACACTCTAAGCGGTAGGTATCCGACACACTCTGAACGGTAGGCATACGACACACTCTAAACGGTAGGTATACAACACACTCTAAACGGTAGGTATTCGACACACTCTAAACGGTAGGTATACGACACACTCTAACCGGTAGGTATACGACATACTCTAAACGGTGGGTATCCGACACCCTCTGAACGGTAGGTATACGACACACTCTGAACGGTAGGTATAAGCCACACTCTAAACGGTAGGTATACGACATACTCTAACCGGTAGGTATCCGACACACTCTGAACGGTAGGGATACGACACACTCCAAACGGTAGGTATACGACGCACTCTGAACGGTAGGTATCCGACACACTCTGAATGGTAAGTATACGACACACTCTAAACGGTAGGTATACGACATGCTCTAAACGGTAGGTATCCGACACACTCTAAGCGGTAGGTATCCGACACACTCTAAGCGGTAGGTATCCGACACACTCTAAGCGGTAGGTATCCGACACACTCTGAACGGTAGGGATACGACACACTCCAAACGGTAGGTATACGACACCCTCTAAACGGTAGGTATACGACTCACTCTGAACGGTAGGTATAAGCCACACTCTAAACGGTAGGTATACGACACACTCTGAACTGTAGGTATACGACACACTCTGAACGGTAGGTATAAGACACACTCTAAACGGTAAGGATCCGACACACTCTGAACGGTAGGGATCCGACACACTCTAAACGGTAGGGATACGACATACTCTAAACGGTAGGTATCCGACACACTCTAAGCGGTAGGTATCCGACACACTCTAAGCGGTAGGTATCCGACACACTCTGAACGGTAGGTATCTGACACACGCTGAACGGTAGGTATACGACACACTCTGAACGGTAGGTATACGACACACTCCAAACGGTAGGTATACGACGTACTCTGAACGGTAGGTATCCGACACACTCTAAACGGTAGGTATACGACATACTCTAAACGGTAGGTATTCGACACACTCTAAACGGTAGGTATACGACACACTCCAAACGGTAGGTAGACGACGTACTCTGAACGGTAGGTATCCGACACACTCTGAACGGTAGGTATACGACACACTATAAACGGTAGGTATAGGACTCACTCTAAACGGTAGGTATCCGACACACTCTGAACGGTAGGTATACGACACACTCTGAACGGTAGGTATCCGACACACTCTGAATGGCAGGTATTAGACACACGAATAAAAACCTGAATGGTAGATATTGGACATTCTTTAAATGGAAGCTGTTTAAGATACACAGATTGGTCGATAAACAGATAATATTGGGCACACTCTAAATGGTATATATTGGACACCTTTCTATATTAAATCTTTACCGACGGGTACGTTAAAAGATCAATAATTCCAAAGTACGTGATAATGGTAACCACATTGGTTCAAGAATGCCTTAAATTGAATTAAAACGTAACCTTGGAATGATTTAAAAATTTGGCGAAAGACAATTTTGTTGTTTGCTATTAAGACATGAAATATCACTAATACGTTTACGCAACATCAATGTTAACACAGCACGTCTACGTAGCAACGTCAATGGGATCTTGAAGCCATAGACTGCGTGCGTAAGTATCACAACAGCTTGGCGGTGACATCTGTAGCACACGTGCACGTATATATTTGTCCCACTCGATGCTAAATGTATCTCCATCATAGATGTCGACATTACATTCACTAATAATACATCAACGTTCGCCCTGGGCCTGATGTATTCGTAATGGTTTGTATTGGCGTACGGAGTAACACGCACGTGTTGTATTGGTATCTTTAACAGTAATTACAGACTTTACACGACCTAGGTACAGACATATCGGGCCACACATCGAGTAAACATTTATTATTTAGCATTTTCATTACTTAAAACGTTTTATGGAACAAACTTTCTAATACCGTATATTTGAATATGAAACATGTGTTTTCAGTTTTATAAGTAAACTGTAGACATATTATATTTCAAACAAGCTATTTAAATGTTGAAATTTATATAACTGCTTTCCTCGTGGGAATGAGGAATGAGTTTTAAATTGCCCAAGTGATCGAAATGTCTCACAATTCATTTTCTTTTGATGGATTTTTTTTATTGTGACTAGATTCAAAATAGCCTTATTATCTTCTTAGAATGATGATGGCTGAATAATCACGGCTAAAAATCCAAAATAGGCATGTAAGTTGTTACGTTTGATTAAGTTACCCATGCAAAATTCACAATGATACATATTTGCTAATTGGGTAGTTATCTGGGTCGTGTCCCTAGCTTATCTAAAGATTAAGTTAAAATAAGAGCCAACTAGGCCAGAAGGATGGCGACTTATGTCGGACTTACAATACATCCTATAAGTAAACAAATAAAAACAACATTCCTGTCCCTTTAAATCTTCCTCGGTGAGGTCTAGTTGTGGGCCTAATACCATATAATGATATACATAAATATTCACGCCTTTTCATTCAGGTCAGTGGCAAATCTTCATAAACAGACCAGATTGTCTTCAATCCATTCCTTAATCGGCATGGGATTCACAATCTATATTTAGAATATTCACATAAACGTAATACAGAGATTCACAATTGTTATATTTCCTTAAGAAATACCGCGATTTGTCGACACTACTAAAGTCTCACCTCGACCAGTTTTGTTGGGTACCAACCATAAAATATATGTAGTAGAAATAATAATTATATGGTATCAATTATATATATGAAGTATTTCTATCTTTTAACAATATACACCCCTCACAATTGTGATATTTTAAACTAAATTTGGAAAAAATCTAACCTTAACTCATAATGAAAGTGAAATTGTCAGAATAAGCATTTTCAAATATATCAAGTGTTACGAAATTTCCCAAGAAAGTGTTTCTTATACTTTGAAATACACGTATAACGCAGCTATTTATATCCTTAGGAATATATTTAGTTCTATAGACTTTATACACTTGTATAGATATTATATATCACCATTCTTGAGACTAATTATAATAGGAAACAACACATCATGACACAGACGCACGACATTTGTTGGCCTGTTGCCATAAGGTTTTTTCTCACATGATAAATACCACGTGTAGTCAATAGCATGTTTCGTAATTCAATATATATCGATTAATTAATTAAATTCATAATAAAAGCGTTTTCCTGGTTTCTAAACATTACATTGCTGATCAAAGCCAAGGTTTTTACCGTTACTAGAAGAGCTTTGTCAGCAACAAGGTACATCCCCTAATATTTGTTTGAATACAAATGTTGAGATTTGCATTTGTTTATATGCAAAGCTTGCTGAAAGTATAAATGCACGTATTAGATGAGCAATGTGAACAAAAAGAACATTAACAATAGAAATCTAAAGATGTCAAATCTCACGTTGTCGAAATGTGTAGAATCATGTTTGCTTGATTTAAATTGACGAGATACATACTTTTTCATCATTTTTATTTTGTAAAGATACAGGTGTCAAGAAATCGTAACGAATGCTGACAGGTGTTACAAATGACCGAAGAGCACTCAGGGAACCCGGAGATATAACTTGGTTTTTTTTCTTGTTTATAACGACTAGAAATTATGCCGTCTGAATAGCATGTTTTCCTTATGGGATGTTAACTCACGTGCTTTTATTGGTCAGAGACAGAAATTCGTTTTAAAAACAGCGGCAGTTTTTTTGGAGACATTAAAGTTAATATACACAACCACTCTGCAGGAAACATAGATTGATAAAAAGGTTTGTGTACATGTAAATATAATGTCACGATATACGATGTGCGGCTTGGTACCTGGCAAAGTTAAACCTAGTTAATATAAAATATGCTTCTGTATTTTAAAAAAAAATTATAACGCAACTCGAAGTTAAAAATTATGTTAATTTGTTTCTTATTAGAAAAAACATCAACATATATTCATGCATGTACATATTCAGGGACGGATGATTTATCATATCGGTGATGTTCACATCGTGTTAGGAGGAATAATAAGTGATATTACACTCAGATAGCTATGTAACACCTACACAGATGTATAATCAAGTTCTAATTTATTTTATATATGTTCACCTTTGTAACAAGAAAGCATGTTTATGAAGTCGAGTTAGAAAGGATTTAAACGATACCACATATATGAACATTAATCGCTGTAACGTTTGGCAGATCCTGTCTTACTTTTTATCAACTTTGAATTGGGATCTTGTCCTTGTACTTTGACGATCAATGTGGTTCGTTTTATTCGAATTTGTCAATTTTGCATGAAAAGTTAGGTCAGGTTAAGAAAGTATTTAGTTTTCAAACAAACTGTTAGACACACTGAATTTGATTTAAATAAAATCAAACATACAAATCGTAAAAAATTATCAAAAGATAAAGTAAAGTGGATCAACCTACCTTCATGTTGTTATGGTCATGTAGCGTAAATGAAGTTTTGTCAAAGTTCCCAGTAGGTAAAATATCCCAGGGAAATACTGTCTATAGTGTTAACTGATCAGGCCAGCTGACCAGCTACAACGGTTTGACCACATGACGTACTACTTAAGATATATGTCTTGTCTACTGATGCGTCCAATTCACTTTGATTTGGTTTCAATAACTGATCCATGTTTTATACACTGTAGTCTTGCTACACCTACATGGAACAAATCAACCCCGCGTTCTCTTCAAAAGCTGACGCTGGAATGGTACTGGAGAGATGGGCATCACACGTCACTGTGTTGGAAAGCGACTACAGGAGACAAGGCGACCGTCATAGCAGCAGTTTACCCCACTGTGTGGCACATGGACGACATGGGAATGACACAGGAGATATATTTGCATCATATATATTTCACTGCAGGGGACAGTTACTTCATAATGGTGTAAAGGAAGCAGGTATCCTGCACCACCACTGTATGGGACATATACTGCAGGATATACATGTACCATAGCCAGAATGGATGGACAAGTAGGCAATTAAACTGGACAGAGAGAACACGAAAAATTCGTGACGACCTAATGTACAGAGGCAAGAAAACTGACATGATAACCCCCAATATTTGATAGTTGTTGTAAGAGAAATGTCAACGCCTAACACACACGGACAAAAGTATACAGTTAATATGATAGTGAAAAGAATCAAAGCGACATTAACACAAACCAATTAAAAACTCTCAAACTTGCACAATTAAACAACAAAACAATAAAACATTCAATACTTACGTTACAAAAAGCAATCTCATTCTGATAAAGCTAACAATCGATATTTGTTTTTACAGCAAACACACTATAGAAATGAAGCCATATTACAGAAGCTGTGCGACACACACGGATAATTGTTTAAAAATGGAGAGTAAATGATTATATGTAGAAACTTTTCGTAAGGTCCTTAGTAACAATACAATACATTTGATGGCCTTGAAAAGCTGCAAGTGTTTCTATAAATCGTGCACATGTCCTTGGTAGGGATTACACACTGGACAACATGTATGACCTCCGAAAGCCCTACTTTAGAATTGATCGGATCAAGATACTATTTGTGGTTTTCAAACGCCCATATTCATTGTACGGTAGTAAGTTATGGCGAACTTGTCACGTGTATTTTAACACATATTTCTTTTGTGTTTGTGTGGTTTATAAACCAGTCTGACACAATATTTGCACGCGTTGTAGATTCACGTGTGTCCTTTATAATGTGGTATGAAAAGCAATGGCATGACTGTAACGTTGATCACTTGGCCCCGGTCTCTCAGTGGTTTGTTTAAGAGTTATTCAGGGGCCAGACAAAATAACACAACAAATCAAGAACATGTGCCATTATTTCATTGCTTTCAGATCAGAGTAATGTGTTTTGATGATATTTTTTTTTTTGAAAAACCCTGTTTTTAAGTGCTTATAATTTGAATTTATCACTTACTCATCAATGTTTAAATCAGCAACCTTTTAGCGACTGCGACCCGATCAGCTTATAGCTAACATCAAATATATTAATGATACCATAAGAAATCTATTTGAAATTGCGAGTAGAAATGATTTGATATTTTTTCAGCAACAGCAACGATTCCCCTCCTGTTTTAACATAGTATATTACACTGCTGTCTCATATCAGACACGCTGCTTCGGAGGCATTCGAAGCGAAAACACTTATTACATCGAACATGTTAATAATTCGAGGCGACTAACGTGTTTCCTTTTTTCATTTGTACTTTATTTCTTATTACATGAAAATTCATTACCAATGAGACCATTGGTTTATAATTTATCCCATTGCGTTGGACATCGACGACCTCAGAATGACATAAAAGATTGTCCTATATATAGTCCATTGCAGGGGTCAACGACCCCAGACTGGTGTAAAAGAGGCAGGCATTCTCGATACCGATCATACGGAATTGTCAGTATGATTGGCACTGACAGTTACAGTAAAATAAGTATATATACTTGTGTTGGATATCAGTTCTTAAAAAACGGTTCTGAAAGAAGATTACCATATCGTCGTACTATATTAAGGATAAATACTGAATGATACACATAATGTAACACGTGTCCATAGTAAGGGAGTCCTCCGAATCTTTGCGTGATGGATAATTGGTATATAATGCTATCTATGTACTGATTACTCACGTCAACGTCGGGCGATTCATACGTGTTCGTGCGTGTGTCACATTTATATTTCAACGTTACCTCTGTGCTGTATATTGCAGTCTGGCACGTGACATATTTGATCACTTAATGCAAACATAATCATGGGTAAATAGTGTATATGCACAATAGTTTATTTATATTTAGAAAAAGGTTGCCAACAATATACATGTATGCAAGGAAAAAGGAAAATATCGAAGTGCTAATATATCGTCATTTACTGCACAAATCCACCAAAAAGGGCATAACCTGTATTATCAACGACAGACTTGACACGAAGACCATTCAACAAGTGTAAACAGAACAAAACCACATGGTTCGGAGATAAGTGTCCTTCATGTGGTATTTTCCGAAATTATATAGACAGACAAATCATAAACGGTTTACATCCGTGCACAAAAAAACCCAGAAAATATAGACATGTATGATGTTACTTGTTACATAGACTTTTTATTCAAAGTTCATTGTTAATTCTAAAATAAGATACACAGATCTTATGGAAGCAATAGTAATGACATGTCTCCTGATTATACCAAACCTCAACACTGCACATTGATTGCTGCATTTGTACTACCGCTAACCCTACCTGTGGTTCCTGGACGACAGACAGAAACGGGAATGATTCATAATTTAAACAATTCGATGTCCCTTCTGCAAAATCATAGTTTTTAGGTTTTTAATCGATGACGACAACAAAGACATATAAAAACTTCGTCTGCATCTAAGCTTCCTGATCATCTGGGTTATATCTCTTATTCTGTTATTCCACCATTTGTTTGATGCACGAGACTGATTAATCCAATACTAGGACCATTGGTCTAGATTATACACCCAACAGAAAGGCCATCCCTACATTAAGACCATAGGTATAATAACGCCTAACATGGAGAACATCCTACCGATAAGACATTCGTATAGAGATGCAACAAACTACCAGATATAGTCGAAAATTGAAAATCAATCGCTACTTCAAAAGAGAAACATTAACGGACAGTGACTTAACGTTACGTTCTAGCCAGAAATCATCTGATTGTAACAACTTGGAATCATTCCCAGCTGTATTTGCCTTCCCTGTAGGCCTTCAGCTCTAAGCATAAATGACAAAATCTTCCAGCTACACCACAGGCCCGTATACAAATAAGACAATCTCTTCATTCAAACATTTTGTTGTAAAACATGTACATTGGCTTATCATGTAAAACTTCACTGGAGAAAAATACTGTTGTTAGTTATTCGTCTCATACCATCATAAATATTAAAAATTTGCTTTTTTGATTTACGTACAAAACAACAACAAAAACATATGTTTTATGTTTCTTTATGGTTTCGTTTGGTTCATTACGAAGTAATATACCTACTTATTGATACCATTTGTATGGATTAAAACCAACACAGGACATAACATTTATTCATTGAATCAAATTTTAATTTCATTAGAAATAATTGTTGAAAACACACCTGTTGGCGATGTGGACATGGCGGATATCTTTAATGTGTAGGACGTAGTTAAACACCGACGTTAGTACACCATATGGAAGTTGAAAAGGGCAAGATAGATAAAAAACCATATATGGAGAAGTAGAAAAAAGGGTAAGAGATCAAAGGTATGTGGTTGATAACATATGTATATTAAAATCGAGAAATTTAAAAACTGAATTAAAAAATAGAATTATTTTATTTATAGGTTTATCAATCACCAATTTGCTAGGTCTATATTTGAGTGTGACAATAAAGATAATGATTACGGACAAATGAATCAAAATTCATTATAAAAGGATAGATATGTGTTAAAATGCTACCGCCAGCATACCAATAAAGGCAATTGGTAACGTCTTAAATGTTAATAGTACTTACAAGCCAATCTATCGTCACTATAAATAGATAGAATTTATTGGATTTTGACGTCACGTCCTACACAAAAACACATCAGCTGTGATAACGCTTTTCAAGGGAATGCAAAAAACATTAAATGAAAACTAATTCCTTCAAATCTAATTTGAAAAAGAAAAAAACCCATCTTTCGAATTGTTCAGAAAAATAACCAAAGATAAAAATGAACAAACTGTAGCCATCGTAACGTTAAATAGACGAGACAGAACCCCAATACATTGTAAAGGCTGGCAGTCATACACAGTTAGCCGGGTTTCTGTCTTTCATCGCAAATTACTGAGAATTGAAATTAAATTCAAACGTTAATTAAAGAGAACAATTGTTCACTAGTTGACGTCACACACACCCCAATTATCGTCAAACATATCGTTGAATATAAAATGATTGAATCATAAAATAGCTTGAGGTTTTCTTATCATTAAACGAATCAGTTTCTTTCAGATTTTTCAGCAATGAATCATCGTTTTCTCTCAATAAAATATAAAATTGTGAAAGGGCAAATTTCCATTTGTTGTTAATTGCGACACAATTCAGAAAAAGCGAATGTAGTTAAGATTGTTTGCTATAGATTGAATCATTTTAAAATGTCATATGGAATATGAGGATATCAATTGACACCTTGGCTAATGTATGTCTAAAAGCGCATTTTTAATTATAGAAATAGACCTTGAATTAGCAGAGTGTTATAACTTACTATTGTTATTCTTGCCGACCTTTTTTTGACGCATCATCGATTCTCAGTTTTATAGTATATACACAGAGTAATGCTATATGTTTCAAAACGATTGTGAAATTCAGAGAAAACAGGATTAAAAATCTTCAAATTTTTAAAAATGCCAAACTTTTTATAGGAAATAATACATAACTATAAGAAAACTATCATGTTACAGAAACATATCAGTCTCTCACATATATAACTTATCTACTGTATTACAATGTATCATACGGGTAAAAAAGTGATAATAACAATACCTACATCACATTTCGCTTTTGATTCAATAAACAATATTTACAAACATTTATATCTATTACCACACTACTTTTATCTGTTGTACAGGATACAACCCTTTGTCTAATTTCTTGGCACCCACACTCATATATGTTAGTCAAAACCCGGACTACAATCGTTCAAACTCAATTTCTAGACGACCGGCTGAAGCCATTATAAACTTATGTGATATACAATTGCATTAGTAACAATTCAAAATATTCCGCTGTAATTACAGATTTAGTGAAGATAAAGCATGCGCCAATTTTTTCACT